CACAGGAGAGGAAGGCCCTCTATGAGGTGGATTGATTCAGTGACTGGGATGATTGGGATGGGAGTGTCAGAGATGGTGCAATTGGCACAGGACAGAGTGGAGTTTAGGGCTGTTATACATAGGGTCACTATGAGTTGCAAGCGACTCGACGGCACATAACAACAACAACATGTAACACAATGATAAAGTAGTAGTGACAGAGATTTTTTGGTCCACATATTTAGCATGTGGTTCTTGAAGGCTATAGTCTCAGGGATGACATTTTTTTAGACCCGTAAGCCTGACCATTTTTATCATTTTAGTTTATGTCTGTGGTGTTAAGAGCTTAATTTTCAAAATGCCTTTCCTAGCCACTCATTTTGACTTTCTCATGTAGATAGATATGTGAATAAGGCATGTTAGTCTATCTACAAAACAATATGCTATTCTTATCTATCCATAAGGGCATTGGCCAGGTCTTTCCATTAAATTGAGTGGAACCAGGAGCAAAATTAAGAGAAACCTCACTGCCGGCAAAGAAGAAGCAGGAGAATGTAATGTTTCCTTAAGGATCAGAGATTCCTGTGACAGCCAGATTAGGGCCTATGGGAACAACAGCCAAAGCAGCCACAGTGGAGAACCAGATATCCAACATGAGACAGATCAGACCTTGGGACTACTATGCCATTGAAAAGGAGTGAAGATCCTTTTGCCCAAGTTTGTTAAAGAACTAGGGAGGGGAGAGCCGTATTTGGCAGGACTGAGAACTATGTAACACTGGCCTAACGCTGTGAGGCTCAAGACTGAGGTGCCTGCGAACACATTTCAGAAGCTTTCCTACCTGTATTCTGATATTAACCTAGATAATAACCTTTTGACTTTACTAGTGAGCAGTCTGTTTTGGATTTAGTAAAGCTGTAAGACTGGTGTTGAGATTTAAAAAGGTATGGTAGGGTGGGAACCATGACTGATCGATGGGAATCAGTTTTGTGCTAATGTTGATGCTGTTGACAGGGACAGTTTCCCTTTAGAAGTCAGTAAATGTCAGATATGGCCGTCCTCAGTGGCCCTTGCTCTTTTTTACAATGACTATCAGTCAAGTGCTTACATCTTATGCCACCAGGGCTCTGTAAGAGGGTAGAAATAATAATAAATTTTAAGTCTTAAAACATATATATTTGTTAAAAATATGAGTTTAACCACTAAAAGAATAAAAATAGACATTTAACATCCATATCAGATAAAGGAAAAAAAAAACGAGAAGTCAGGATTAATCCCGAAGAAGCATAAAAAGTAGAGTTAGAGCAAAGAGATGCAGAAGAGAAAAAAACCAATTATCATTCTGTTGTTATATGCTTTCAAGTCACATAGTGACCCTATGTACAACAGCCCTAAACCTTGCTCTATCCCTTGCCAATCTTATTGTATCTGACACACCTATCCCCACTACCCCAGTGACTGAATCAATCCATCTAATCAAGGGCCTTCCTCTCCTACACTGTCCCTCTACCCTCCCAAGCATGATGTCCCTCTCCAAGTACTGATCCCACCTTGCAACATGTCCAGAGTTCCTCTTATGAAGCTTCAGAACCTTGCATGGTTTCACCCTCTCCAGGACGAACTTGTTTGTTCTCCTAGGAGTCCATGGTATATTCAATACTCTTCT